TTCTATCCTGTGCCAACCTCGCTGTCTCAGACACATTCATTCCCACAACTCCACTCACAGAATCGATCCATCTCATCGAGGGTCTTCCTCTCCTGCACCATCCCTCCACTCTCCCAAACATGATGTCCCTCTCCAAGGACCAGTCCCTCCTTGCAACATGCCCAAAGTATGTCAGACAAATCTAAGGATAAGTAAACTCACAGAGCACTTATCCTTACCTGACACTGTACAAAGTAACTTGTATTCATTAGCTCAGGTACTTTTGACAACAATCTGTTATCATTGTTCTCATTTTTATCAATGAGGAAGTTTAGTATAGATAAATTAAGGAACTTGCTTAGGGTTACATAGATTCTCATGGAGGTTTTTACTGTTTCAATTCTCTCCTGGAAAACATGAAAGGTGTTGTTCCCTTCAGAGTCTATTCTCAGGGGTATACTCACCTTTAGAAGCATATGATGAACTCAGCAGTTCATCAGTAGCAATATGTCTGCAGTCACAGATATCTCCTGAAGGCTAGCTATAAGTCACTCCCTTCCTCTCTTAAATACGAAAGCATAGCAGAGGGAAAAGTAAGAGAAATATTATGATTTTTATTGAAAATATCTGACATGTATTGAATTTTGTCATGTCAGACATGAATTTTCTAGACGCATTGCATATATAACCATTTAATGCTCCCAGAAATCTTACTATGTAGCTATTATCATCACCTCATAGGAGCTTTGATGGCATGTTGTGCTGCTAACCAAAAGGCCTTGGAACACCAGCGACTTCACAGGACAAAGATGAACAGTCATCTTCTGCTAGGATTTACAACCTCAAGGATCATTATAAGTTAGAATCAACTCAATGGCAGTGAGTTTGATCAGTCATCGTCACCTCAGTGGTATAAGAGGTTTGCTAACCTAAAGGATGGAAACTGGCACTCACCCGGTGGACCAATGGGAACAAGAACTGGGGATGTGCTTCTTTAAAGATTGTTGTTCCTCCTGAGTGCTGCATAGTATTCCATTGTGTGAATATATTACAATTTCTCAATCCATTTTGTTGTGGCTGGACATTGGGATTGTTTCCATGTTCTTGAATAATGCTGTTATGAATATTGGTATACAAATCTCCGTTTGTGCCTCAGTTAGAATTTCCTTGGAGTATATTCCCAATAATATAATAGTGGGTTGATATAAAGTTTCTATGTTCAAAATTTTGAGGAAATGCCAAACTGCCTTCCAGAGTGGTTGTACCATTTTACAATCCAGCCAACAGTATATGAGAGTTTCAACCTCTCCACATCTTCTCTAACATTTATTACTTGCTGTCCTGTTAAACTTTGCCACTGATACTGGGATGAGATGATATCTCAATGTGATTTTGATTTGCATGTCTCTTATTGCCAGTGATTTTGAGCATGTCTTCACTTGGGAGAGACTGGAGAGCATTACGTTGAGTGAACTAACTCAGTCTCATGAGCACAAATACTGCATATGACTATTGAAATAGAAGGATAACTACTAAAACATATATGGGAACCTAAAGAGGGAAGGTATGGGAGAGGATGGGTGAGGATGGTAGTGGTGAAACCCCAGCGTTTCACAGTTTGGTGGGTGGAGGGAGGTGGTGAAAGAAATGGGAAGGTTCTGGGTGAAATGACAGGGTAATGATGGGTAAGGTCCAATGGTGATTAATTTTATAAAGCAATGCATGAGAATGATTGTATGAAACACAATGTGAATGAAGAATAGTGTGAAACAATATCTATGAAATTGTAAGCCAACTAATAATAATAATAATAATAGTAATGTTGTTGTGTATCATAGAGATGTAACTGACCCATATATGACCCTTCAGCAGTTTTAAGAGGCAGCAAAAATCACACAGGAAGAGATTGTTCATCCTTCTTCCACTTCCAGAAGGACTGGTAGATTTGAACCATGTGCCTTTGGGATTGTAGTGCAGCTTCTTACCACTAGGCCACCAAAGCATAAAGACTACAAAGCTGTCGAGACCAATTCTCTGTAAGATGTGGAGTAGACATGAACCATTCTGGTTCATTGGAAGCAGTTTTGGCTTTTTTTGTAACATTAACAGCATTTTACAGGTGAAGAAACGGACAAGTGAGATAACTTGCCCAAACTCACACAGCTGTGAGTGACGAGTCCTCCTGAGTTCAGAAAAGCCAACTCTAGAGCAGAGGTCCAGTCTGACCAAATTTGTATTAGTAAAATAATTTGTACATTTCAGTTCTTTAGCTAGTCTCATTTCATGATTGAACAGAACGTGCTGTTTTGCCTTCTGTCCTATATCAAAGGGCAGAGCTTGGCCCTGAGCTATTCACCAGGTCATGTTGGTGTGAGCACCAAGGCCAAACCAAACTTAGTCCCGCAGCTGCTTGGAGCTGCAGTTAGGGCCAAGAGAGCTTTCTGATCCTTCCCGGGACAGCTAGAGGGGCCAGGACCCATGGGGTTCCAACTTCAAAGTACTCAAAGCCATCACCATAACCTCTCATTTTTGATCAGTGGGAACCATAATCCAGGAATGTGAGCTGTTTAAATGACTTTTTTTCTTTTTTAATTTAAGAACAGGTCAGACTAAGTCCAAGAAGGCAAAGTGATTTTCAGTAATTGCCTTTTCAAATCCTCTTTGTACCATAATGTCCAGTAAATGAAAGTATTATCCAAAAGGGACAATGCTTCGTAGAAAATATAGGGCCATGAAGTGATTGGATGAAGGCTAATTATTTCTCCTGTGACTTCTGGGTGAAGAAAGCCTTGTGGCATAATCTCCCAACACCAGAAGTCAGTTGCTGTCTGACTGATAGCTATCCCCAGTAGCTGAGGGCTGCACTCCATAAAGTTGTGACCACTCAGAATCAGGTTACCAGGTTTTCCTCCCCAGCTGCCTCTGGTTGGCTTTGAAGCTAATTTTTCAGCTCCTATTCCGGAGTTTGTTTGCACTGCCTGAGGCATCTCACAAAACCCTATGTTTATTGTTATGTGCCCTGGGGTTGAATGCATCTCCTAACAACCCAAGAGGACAGAGTAGAATTGCTCCATCATGCTTCCTCGGCTGAGATCTTTCTAGGAGCAGATTGTCACATCTTTCTTCCAGAGAGTAGCTGGTAGGTTTGAACTAGAGGTTTCAGTCAGCAGCTGGGGGCCTAACTGTCATCACGGCTCCTTCATGCACCTCTAACCACTAGCCATCCTGAGCTCAAGTGCAGAGGCTCACTTAATATCACCCAGCGGCTGATAATATCACCCAGCCAGCTGATTTCCTGGATGGCATTGGCATGGGTTTGCATTTCTGATTAGGCTGGAAGAGAAAGAGAGGAAGCAAGTACCTTCATAGAAGCACAGCCAACAGATTTGCCATCAGCAGAAGAAATGCTCCTTGAAACTCATTGTCACCGAGTCAGAATTGACTTGTCGCTATCCTCCAGGTGTTTTCCAAGGCTGTAAATTTCTCAGAAGAAGGTTTCTCACCTTTCTCCCATGGAGCCATTGGTGCATTCAAACTTCCAGCTCAACTCCTTACTGACTACTCAGCTCAACAGATCTAAACCATAGCTGAGCCTCCAGTGGGTTTTCAGAGGCTGTAAATCACACAGGAGGAGACTGCTTATCTTTCTTCCAAGGAACAGCTGGTGGATTCGAACTTTATACCTTTGGGAAAGCAGTGTAACCACTTACCATTAAGTGATCAAAGCCACCTAATTCTCCTTGAGTGGAGGAAATAAGACCCCAGTACCCCAATACTCCAAAAGAGACCTCAGGACAAACTGCTTCTGGACACAATTTGGAAAGTAGCAGCACAATGCTCAGTGACTTCCTAATGTAGAGATAAAAGGCTGTGTGTCCGAGAGTTAAGAGTTCGAAACAAATAGGGAGATAGCAATGCCCTTAATTCTCAACTTCTCAGACTCCAATTTATTATGCATTGGCAAAATCCAGTTTTGCTGTTTTATTTCAAAAGTAAAAAAAAAACAAAACAAAAAAACCCCACTAAACCCCAACCCAAGCAACCCTCAACTAACCACTCAACTTCAGCATGAATTCTTGTTTAAAAGACATTCTAGAATCATATCCACTTGCTCACCGTTGTGCTGGTTCTAATTCATAGCAACCGTCCATTTGGCTTCTGAGGTGTACATGCAATAGTAGGAAACTGCTCACCTTTCTCCAGTGGATTTGAACTGCTGGAGGGCTTTGGATTAGGGGTGTGTCTTGCTATACTTGCTATGAGCTCTTAGAAGATTTTTTTTTCCCATCAAGTGATTCCTTTTATGCCTTTGGGCTCAAATTTGGAGACTCCATATCTATCTTCCTGTGGCTAAGAACTAGACTTTGAAATACCATATCTCAGGTGTAATTTCAGAGACAAACAGAAAAACCATCGACTCACCTTGGAGTGGGCCCTGCTGCCAGGAGCTTTATTTGTAAAATGCATATCACAAAGGCAGACCACCAGCCAGGCCACATGTTGGCTTCCACAGCAGATGAGAGTGGAATGACCAGGCCAGTGGTGACAATATTGAATTTTCTCTGACTCCAGTGACCCTATTTATTTGCAAAAGAACGAAAGACTTGCCTGGGGGGGAGGAGAAGCTTATTTCAGATCTGCAGGTCAAAGTTTTGCTAGTTAAGGGGCAATGAAGTCCAATCAAAGAAGAGTCATTTAAAAATTCTTGGTTTTCTGTAATTTCATATTGACAAATCATATCGATTTATCACGAGTAAAACTGAAAAAGACACCACGCTGGGCAAGGTGGATGGTCAGTAAAAGAGGAAGACTCACAGCAAGGCGGATTGCCATAATGACTTTAACAAAGGGTTTGAAAATATCAGAGATTGTAAAAATAGTGCAGGATAGATAGAGCAAAGTTCAGAACTATTGCTCAGATGGGTGCCGTGAGTTATAATCAACTTGATGGCACCTAACAACAACCTTAGGATTGTATTCTCTACATCGGAATTGTATTCTCTCTCCACACCTATCTAATCTGTATGGTGAGCAAATTATTTGAGAAGCTACACTCTCTGAAGAGGAATGTGGCACCGGGATCAGAAAGAGACTCATCATTAACCAGCATGATGCAGATGACACAAACTTGCTTGCTGAAATTGAGGAGAACTTGAATCACTTGTTATAGAAGATCAAGGAATACAGCCTTAAGTACCATTTGCATCTCAATGTCAAGAAAACAAAGATTATTAACACTGGATTGACACGCAACATCATGATGATAGATGAGGAAATGAAGTTGTCAACAACTTCAGCATATTAGGAGATTGCATTAGAAGAGTCTGCAGTTAGGGACCTTCCAGAATTCTTGAGGAGTAATGATGTCAGTTTGAGGAATAAAGTGCATCTGATTCAAACCATTGTCTTTCAGATCACTTGCTATGCATCTGAGAGCTGGACAATGAATAAGAATGACAGATAAAGAATTGATGCCTTTGAATTTTGGTGTTGGAGAAGAGTACTGAACATTCTATGGATGGTCAAAAGGACAAACAATTATCTTGGAGAGGGTGCAGCTAGCGTCCTCTTTGGGGGCAAAGATGATGAGACTGGCTCACATACTTTGGGCATGTTGCTAGGAGGGACTATTCCTTGGAGAGTAGCAAGATGCAGCGAAGGATAGGAAGACCCTCGACCAGATGGATCGATATAGGGACTGCCGCAAAGGGCTCAAATACGTCAGGAAGTGTGAAGATGGTGCAGGACAAGACAGGGTTCAGATCTGTTGTTCCCAGAAGTTGCTGAACACTGGGACAGTGATGTGCTAAATGCAATAATGGTTACCCATGGTGGACAGTGTTTTGTGGAGCTCTCCAGTTAAAACAAGCTTGGAAGCAGGAGTGGCATCCACTTCCATAAATACCTTGCCTCCTGAAACCCTATGAACCTGGAGAAAGGATGAAAGCCACACAAGGGTTGAGGACTTTAATTCATAGGGTTGCTATGAGTCATCTATGACTCGATGACACTTAACAACAACCACTCCCATGGAGCAACTGGTGGATTTGAAACATGTGCCTTCAGGATTGCAGCACAGATTCTTACCACTAGGCCATGTTGCAGTCCACCCTTAATCCACTTACAATATTTTATCAAATCACAAGGAATTATTACACTGTTTCTATATTATCACATCACTACATGCAAGTATTTTGGGAGGACAAAATTCAGTCTATGACAACTGGCATACTCTTGGCACAAGCAGTCAGGAAATTAAAAGACAAAATGCATTAAGAAAATCTGCAAATCTTCAAAGTGCTGAAGAGTAACGATGCCACTCTAGAGCCTAAAATGTGTTTCGGTTGCTATGCAACAGAGAGCTGGACTAAGGATGGTATAAAAAGAATCGACGCCTTTGAATTGTGGTGCTGGAGAATTGTACATACCATGAACTTCCAAGAGAACAAACAAGTCGTTCTTGGAGTAGGTGAAACCAGATGTTCCTTGGAGACAAAGATTTTGAAACTCTGTCTCACATACTTTGGGCACACAGCCAGGAGGAACAAGTCCCTGAAGAAGGCCATGATGCTTGGAAGGGGTGAGGGACAAAGGAGAGGAATGAGATGGATTGACACAGTAACTAGGGTAATGTGGGTTGGTGTGTCAGAGTCAGAGACTGGCTCAGGATAGGCTAAGGTTCAGATTTATTGTATATAGGGTCTCTCAGAGTCACAGCATAGAAAGAGATAAGTTGGCCTCGTGTATAGAAAGTGATGTTACCGAGCCAAAGGTGGATGACTTTAATCCGCAGCCCTCAGACCTGTTTTGAATTATTTTTGGTCAAACCTTCTTCTAGGTCATACACTTTGGTCTGTCTACTTGCTGTACAGAGGTGGCTGCTGTGATGCTGAACACTGGGACACTGATGTGTCAAATATGATAATGGTTACTCATGGTGGACAGTGTCTGGTAGAGCTCCCCAATTAAAATAAGATTGGAAACAGGAGTGGCATCCATTTCCGTAATAGCTTGCCTTTGGAAACTCTATGAACTTGGAAAAACGATGAAAGTTATACAATTGTTCAGGTCTTTTGTTCATAGGGTCACTATGAGTCACCTATGACTCAATGGCATTTAACAACAACAACAAGAGTCACAGACAACTTGATGACGCACAATAACAACAACAGCAACATGACAACTGACAAATCAAGAACTTTGTAGCCATCTTTTGACTATTAGGTAAGATCTAGCTCACATACTTTGCATGTTGTTAGGAGGGCCCAGTTCCTGGAAAAGGACATCATACCGGGAAAGACTGACTAGGGGTCAGAGAGGAAGATCTTCAAACAGATGGATTGGCAAAAGTGACTGCAACGGTGGATTCCAGCCCAGTAGAGATTGTGAAGATGGTGCCGGAGTGGTGAGGGCTTTGTTCTGTTATATAGAGCGTGAGACAATTCGATGATACCTAACAGCAGCAAGACAATAAATATTAGGAAAAACAATTAAAAGACAAAGTGTTGGAGTAGAAATCTAAGCAGGGATCTGTCTCCATCCTCATGGCTGTTGTTGATACGCTAAGCCAACACTAGCAGTCATGAAGCTAGATTTATGTCAGAAAAATGTTCCAACTCGCTTCACCAGCTACAAGTCTTTCCAATGCTTGAAACTCGTGCATTCCCACCTGATATGTGTTAGGAAGTCTTCAGTGTCTTTCATCAAAGAACATAGTTCCTCTAGCCTCTAGTCCTACCATTTTCACCATTAGAGCCCTAAGCCGTTCTCTAAGGCCAGAGAGGGCTGGGGAACGAATATATCGATCCTTCTTTCTTTTTTAGTTCCTCTGTCCCAATACTCCTTGCAGCTGGCAACAAACAAAAAGGTCTGTGATGGGTAAGTGTGACTGGTAGGCACCTAGTCGGAGCCACCTCAGACACACCTCAGGAATGGGAGCACGTGCTGCACCTACCGGGCAGTAGAGGTTTGATAATTAAGTACATGATTCCAGAGACACAAGGGCAAATGAGGGGCTCAGCCACTCACTAGGTACGATGACAAATTGCTGGCCTGTGGCCATCAGCAGTGCTGTAATGAGGACATGTTAACAGACTTGCTGCTGGAACACAGGGGTTTTTTGTTGTTGTTGTTTTTTGGGGTGGCTTTTTTTTTTTCAATAAGTTCATGTTTGGTAGTTTGACTTAGAGTATGGGTTTTAGTTAAAACCACAGCATTTCCCAGCAAGGATTAGACATTTCATTATTTAGCAACCTCTTCAAACAGGAATGGCTTAAATATTTACCAGGGACTTTCAAGGAGTACCTAGCACTGGATGGGTTTGTCTTGGGCTTATTCCGGGAATACAGGTCAGAGTGCTCACTCATCAGGTTACCCCGGGTCTTCTGAGTGAGTTATCAGCATCCTTTGTTCTTTCCTCTCACTGCTTTCAGCACAGGAGACAGTCTGTTTGACCTTCTCTAGACACCCTGGCCAATGCTGTGATGGGGGAGTTTGAAAGCATTGGCTAACAACCTCTTCTCCAATATATAGTTTTACAAAACACTGTGAAAATCACTCAAGAGTGGAGCAGATTGCTGTCATTTTAAAGCCTAAAACATGAGAGAGAAGAGTAACAGATTGTACTCCACGGAGTGTTGGTATCAATTAAAAGAAGCTGTTTTGCATAAGTAGTGAAGTACTCCACAGAACGAAATATTTTGAGAACGTGGTTTACATTTTCCTCATATGCAAGACTTAACACTGAGACTTTTATATCCAAGCAAGTCTTTCTATACCATGCTTTGGGGATCATCCAGGAAACGCCCTAAATGACGGATCTTTATTACCATCACCTCTTCTGACGGGTCTGTGTCAGATGAGATCAGCTACAAGATTTTGTTTGTTTTCCTGAGTGAAGAAGCTTTTAGAAGGGTTTGTTGTTTTTTGGGTTTTTTTTTTTTTTTTTTGTAATTGAGATTTTAATAACGGTATAGAGAACTTGGATTTCCATTCATTCATTCATTCATTGTTGCCCATTTCCCTCCCTGCCCACCCCCCTCATTTTGCTTTTCCCTTTGGGGAAAAAAAATTTCTTTCATTTGATAGGTTTTATTTCCTTGTCGACTATCAGTTGACCATAGATAGCTGGGTCTATTTCTGGGTTTTCAATTTGGCTCATTGGTCTATGTGCCTGTCACTGTACCAGTACCATGGTACTACCACCGTATAGTAGGTATTGCGAGCAGGGAAGTGCTTTGCTTATTCTGGGTCTCATTCCTCTCCAAATTAACTTGACAATTTCCCTTTCGATCTCCTTAAAAAGTGAATTTAGTATCTACATCGGGATTATATCGAACACGTAGATTGCTTTTGGTAAGATTGTGCTTTTCCCAATGTTGAGTCTTCTTATCCATGAACAGAGAACATTTTTCTGTTTATTTAGGTCTTTTATTGTGTCTTACAGATATGTTCTGTAGTTTTCTTTGTTTAGATCTTTTGTGTCTATGGTTAGGTTCACTCCTGAGTATTTCAATTTGTGGTTGGCTATTGAAAATGGTATTGCTTTCTTGGATTTCTTTTCTTAGTTCTCTTTGTTGTTGTATAGGAATCCCACTGATTTTTGGATATTGATCTTATATCCTGCCTCTCTAATAAATTGGTCTACTAGCTCTAACAGTTTTGTTGTTGTTGAGTCCTTGTGGTTTTCTGTGTACACTATCATCTGTGTATAGCAACAGTTTAAACATCTCTTTGCTGATCTGGATGCTTTTATTTCCTTTTCTTGTCGTATTGCCCTAGCAAGCACTCCCAGTACAATACTGAATGGAAGTGGTGACAGTGGGCATTCTGCAAGCTATTTTACTGTAGGTGATCAAATGTGACTGATGAAGAACAAGGGAAGTGTAGAAGGTGTTATATCATGGTCTATACTAATGAATTTTTTCATTCAGTTCAGGAGACATACTGCACTGGGAAAGTACACAGTCTGGGACTTCTTCAAATTACTGAAAAGCAGTGGTAACAGTTTGAAGACTAAGGTGTGACTGATACAGGCTGTGTTTCAATCACTTGCTATGTCTCTGAAAGCTGGAAAATGAATAAGGATAACAGGAGAAGAATTGATACCTTTGAGCTGTAATGTTAGAGAAGTATATGGAATATCCCATGAGGTGCCAACAAACAGGTATGTCTTGAAAAAGTGCAGCCAGAATGGAGACAAAGATGACAAAGCTTCCTCTCACTTTGGGCATGTTGCTAGGGGAGGCTGTTCCTTGGGGAGGAACATCATGCTTAGAAACGTGGAGTGTAAGTGAAAGAGAGAAATACCCTCAACCACATGGACTGCCACAGTGACTGCCACAAAGGATGAAAATATATCAGAAGTGATGAGAATGTCACAGGATAGGACAGGGTCAGATCTGTTGCTCATTGGGTTGCTGTGAGTCACACTTGACTTGAGGGCACCTAACAACAATGAATGTTTTGTATACTGAATATCTATTGAAGTCTTATTAACTAACTAGACTCCATTCAACTCCCTAAAAGGGAATATCTGTGGGGCTGAGAGAGGAGAGTAAGATGTTGAAAAAGTGTACGTGATCATATAACGTTCTATTCTATGAATTTCTATTCTCTTCAGCTTTGCAACAACTCAGAATGTATTACAACATTCATAACTAACATACTATATCAAACATATCTTAAAAGTGTGCTTATGAAATATTTTCATTTCAATCAAAAGATTCAATAACAAATTAACATATTAATTGCTATTTTTACTATTTACATTTGCATTGTTGTTGTTATGTGTCATTGAGTTGCCTGCGACTCCCAGTGAGCCTATGTACAACAGCTCTGAAGCCTGCCCTTTCCTGAGCCCGTTTCACTGACTTCTAACACATCTAGCACCGTTCCATCAGTTAATGAATCAATCCATCTCACGGGGGTCTTCTCTCCTGCGCTGTCCCTCCACCCTTCTAAGCATGATGTCCTTCTCCAAGGTCTGGTTTCTCCTGGCCATGTACCCAAAGTATGTAGGACAGAGCATCAAAATCCTAGCATCAAAAGAGAAACTTGGTTTCACCCTCTTGAAGACAGACCTATGTGTTTTCTTGGTGGTTCGTGGTATGTTCAAGACTCTCCTCCAGCTCCACAACTCAAAAGCATCCAAAAGCATCGATTCTTCTTCTGTCATCCTTAGTTATTGTCCAGATCTGCAATAGATACCAAGTCACTGAGAAGACCATGGCTTGGATCAGATGCTCTTTAGTCTCCAGACTGACATTGTTGCTTCTCAGTACTCTGAAGAGGTCCCTGACAGTAGATTTTTCCAGTGCAATTTGTCTTTTGATTCCCTGACTGCTGGTGACAAGAATGTTGATTGTGGAGCCAAGCAAGTTGTAACTGTTAACAACCTCAATCTCTTCTCCATCTATCATGGGGCTGCCAAATGACCCAGTTGGTGAGAATCTGTTTTCTTGATGTGAAGCTTTAATCCATATTGAAGAATACAGTCCTTGACCTTCTACAGCAAGCATTTCAGGTCCTCTTCAGTTTCAACAAGCAAGGTTGTGTCATCTGCGTAACTAGGTTGTTGATTAGTGATGTGAAAAGCAAGGCTAACTAAAATGGTTTGATTGATAGAAAAAGAAAACAACCCAAAACAAGCAAAAATACAACCAAACCCAAAGCAGTGTGTTTTATACTATGTATTTAATATAAACCTAAAATAAGGGTGAAATATTAGAGTAAAGGGACAGTAACCCATGAGGTTCCACCATTCCAGTTTTGCTTATTGAAATGAGTAAATTTATAGCTTTACTTGCACACAGAGAAAAGTGCACAAGAGAAAGTAAGTATGTACAAAACAGTTGTGTGGCTGAGAATTACTTTCAAAATTTTATCTACTTTCAGAAACTCAATTGCTTTGTAGTTGCCTCTGATCTAGCACATTTAGCTATCTGGACATTTAAAATACTATTTCAAGTCTGTGTTTATATAACGACTGTGTAGGTAGCCAGATAGGAAACTATGGCATACATTAATTACTAAGATACCCACAGAGCTTCAGCTTGGCCTACTGAAGGCTAACTCATGGAGGTTCATGAAGCTACGGTCTTGTTTAATTCCTGAGGAGTCATCCTCTTTTTCTATCTAAATGTAATACGTGGCTGATTAACATCCACAAGGACCTGAGCATTAAGGGTTGAAGGGACAACATTAAAAAAAACAAACAAAAACTTTCCCAAAATACACCTAACATTAAAAAACCAATAAGCAAAATTTATTTTGACAAGTGCATACTCTTCACAACTTCTCACAAGACGACTGAAAATTACCCTGGAAAGTTTCCAAGCTTTCTAAAGGGGACATTTTTGCAGACATCAGATATTCAGTGATGATATTAAATACCTGCTCTATAGTTTTCCCCCCATGATGTTCCTATTAATGATAAGATCCTAGGTTTCAAGGAAGTTTTACACTTGCTTGATAAAGATCTACCAAGTAAGCACTGAATATGTTTGGCAAATACAGTCCTTCATTGCTGAGTTGATGTCAGTTTCTCTTCATTGCTAACTGCTCTTCTTCAGCTCAGAAGGATAACTACCTATTCCATAGGAAGAAGAAAGGCTATGTCCATTTGAAATTCTAGTTACCGAGATTAGCGCTTACTGAGAAGGGAGAGCTGTTGCAGGTCTGTGAACTATGAGAACTTGCCTCTATACAATCCTGTTGTATGTGAGAAGAAGGTAATGTTATGTAAACCTAAGAACAAAACAGACATAGAAGAGAATCTGAGGGAGAAGGAGAAAAGAGATTCATAATGTTTTGCCTTCATTTCTAACAGTCAACAGAGGACTGGGATAAGAAAATGAATTTGCTCTTAGGAGAAAAAGTATGTGTAGCAAGCAGGGAAGCCATATCTTACAAAGATCTTTGCATCTATTCCAAAATGTCTAAAGAGAACTTAGACTCGTGTCCTTTTTGCTCTAAAAATGCTCATTAAGTAATGATCTGGAGCAGGATTTCTTTTAAGAAGGTGCTTTGCTCTTTGACAATCTTTAGGCTTTGCACCCTAGCAGAGAAGAACTCCAAACAACTTTAATGGTAAAAATTTGAAAATTTATTAAAAATCTGAGGAGTATGTGCTGGCTGCATCTCCCAACCACACGGTAACTGATAGAGTGCTTTAGAAGGTCCTAGGGATACAACAGGCAACAGTCCAAGTAGGAAAACTACTTCATTTACCTTTAAGCTAGAGAATTTAGGATCTTAATTTATTTAAAGCCATTAACTCAGCTTAGCTTTAATCTAGACAAAATGAAAGACATTTTACAAGTGGTAGAAGCAGCAAGAAATAAGGCAACAGATAATACGCCAAAGCTGAAACAAGGGCAGAGAGGTCAGGACATGTCTGGTTATTAGCTTTGCCCTCGATTATTAAGGTCAACCTTTTTGTTCCTCTGGATAGTCAGCATATCAAGTCCCTAGAGAGGTATGGAGAAGAGAGAAAATGCATGGTTAGAACTTACAAGAGTGAACTGAATCACTGTAAAAATAACAGTAATAGTATTGGCTAGGGTTGATGTGAGGATTAAGTAAGATAAGTATCTAAGTGCTCAGTAATACCAACTGTTGTTTCATGATAGTAATTCCCACCCAGCTTAGCAGGGTAAGCTAAACTAGCCCTCACTTTTTACTTAAAGAAGAAGAGCCTACAAGGAATTATAGTCTTACTCAATCACTTATTGCTGTTGAGTTGGAACTGACTCATAGATGACCATCTAGCAGGGTTTTGGAGGCTGTACACAGCACAGGAGGAGACTTGTCATCTTTCTCCTGAGGAGTATCTGGTGGATTAGAACCTCTTCCTTCTGGGTTGGCAGCCCAACTCCTTACTCATTCAGCAGTGTGAGATCCCTTAACTCTAGTCAATATAGCTGTGTCCCAAATTCCTCCTTGACTTGAAGCTAAAACAAACCAAACTATTTGCCATTGCAGACCCTATGGATCACAAGTCTACTCTGACAGACATGGGATCACCAATTGTCAGATCCAAACATAACAGCAACTGGTGGTAGTGGTGGATAGAAAATCAAGTTATCACAGGTCAGCTTTGCAATCAAGCTGATATTACTGAAGGTAAAAAAGCTACAAAGATACTGAGTTTTACCTCCACAGAATTAAAACATAAAAAATACAGAATATTATGAAAATTTGTATCCCTGGGAGTATATTCCTGTTTTCTGATGTGCATAAAATTATAGTAATTACTGAATTAGTTAAGTATAGATTCCCATACCTATTTCTCCTAAATTATAGGTTTTTAATTTCTTTTCAATTCTGCAATTAAATTTTTGCTTCCAATGCCACTCTCCCTCACCAACTACACCACAGCTTAAGAGAATTTACTTACAGAAGTTATGCAAACGGATTTGCAAAAGAAGCTCTGTATACATCAGAAACTGTAGATTGAGGAGTAGACAACTGTAGAGGGAGAAAATAACTCAGTTAATTACAGTCATAATTAGAGTATAATTATAGTCAAAAGAGGGGGAAACCCAATTATAATGAAAACAATGATCTGACTTTGTAAGGGTTTACAAAGATTTAGTAGCTTATGTTTGATTAGTTACATTAGTAAACCAAGGGTTCTCTGAATTATGTTTCCTTCCTGAAGTAAAAAAGGTATTTTTTTGAGTTGTAGAAACCTCTGAGATGATGTTTTGCCTTAATTTTCTCTAAAACTAAACCAAACTTTCAAGAACCAGGATGAGCGAGGAATTTGGTAACTTTTTCTATCTGATACGTATTTCTCAAATTCAAGAATTATCCCTGAAGTGGGGGTGGGGGAGAAAGAATCTTTGTTTTTCTTTAAGTTTGTACTGGGCAGTTTTCATTGAGAAATTTAGTCAAATATGTTTTCCCATCAAAAAATTATAATAGAGCAAAGTGAATTCAGGAGACCGTAGTTCTATGTTGTGGGTACACTGTAGCGTCCAAAAGTGAATACTTACAGAGACTTGTGAGGATGAATTAAAAGGGTCTTTAGTAAAAGGGTTCTCAAAGGCATTCTCAGCAGATTTGGTAGCAGGCAGGGAACCTTGTCTGAGAGCTGGCTTTGGTGGTTCTAGAGGAAGAAAAGCAGTCAATAAACAAGTGCTCCCCAAGTACAGGAACAAGACCTTGACCAGGCACATCTTTGAAATTAGGTTCATATGAAATGCCAATTAAAACTTTGCCATTTCTACATTCTTCACATGTACAGTTCAAGGACATTAATAAATTAGGTCCATACTTGGAAAAAAATGTAGACAGAGTGCTCCCTAGAGGCAAGGATGGCAAAACTTTTATCTCACATATTTTGGGCATGATGTTGTTTTTGTTATGTTGCCATCAAGTCACCTGCGACTCATAGTGACCCAATGTACAACAACCCTAAACCCTGCTCTATCCTGTGCCAATCTGTCTCTGACACACCTACCCCAAATACCTCAGTCACTGAATCAATCCATCTCATCGAGAGTCTTTCTCTCCTGTGCTGTCCGTCCACCCTCCCAAATATGATGTCCCTCTCCAAGGACTGGTCCTGCCTTGCAATATGTTCAGAGTATTCCTTGGAAAGGGATATCATGCTTGGGAAGGTGGAGGGTGAGTGAAAGGGAAGAAGGCCCTCAACGAGACAGATTGACACAGTGACTCAGCAATGGGCTCAAGGGAGTCAGAGATGACGAGGACGGCACAGGACTAGGACAGGGTCCAGAACTGTTATTTAGAGGGTTGCTATGAGTCGTACTCAACTTGATGGCACTTGACAAAACAGCACAAACTTTTGCTGGGAAACTTATATGAGTAGAACCAAAGGCACCACCAAATACCAAGACTCCCCAGTGAGTATTATAGGCATATTTACCCCTTTTAAAAAGTGTGATACTCTGTAAATGTTCATTAACATTATATAAAAAAAAAGTGTGATAAATGAAAAATACCCTCACTTAAAGCTATGGCATGTATAAGGTTTTATTATACAGCCCTCCACTGGCCTTTAAGCAGCTTTTGGCAACACATTTAAGAACCACCACTAGATGCAACTTGCAAGTGACTCTCCAAGTCACATCTGTTGGCATCTATTCACATGGAGTGACAAGAAGTAGGAGAGCCAGGAACTGGAGGAGAAAATGGAACATGAGTCAAATTACCTCTATGAATTACTACTTTCTTTGCTATGAGAGCAGAAGAAATGACTGGTGCCTAGCTACTAACACTGCATATTTTTATCAAAGATACTATTAAAGAAACTGGATTGAAAGCTGGAAAATAAGAACAGATTTCAAATGATCATGAAATCCAGATTTTTTTTAGACCTAGGGAGACTGGGTAAACTCCTGAAAATATTTTCCCAAGGCTCATGTGTGAAGTAGTTGGATTCTGGAAGATAGATTCTCTTGTTTTGGTGAGGGACAGGTGTGGGCTGTTTGGTTGGTTTGGGGGTTTTTTGTTCACAATCATGTGCCAGATTTAACCAACAACAAGCTATAGGCTGGAAGCTTCTTGTTTAGCGTCAACCAGGACCTGGTGTGTGGGCCTTGTATTTAAAAGGTAGTTGGGCCCTTAGGCCTGTGGTCTTTGGGTCTGATGTTAATTGTGTTTGAGGCGAATATTCTTCTAAGTGGTACAACACTAGTCTGTCAATTTGCTGTGCTGAGGTAACCTGGAGTTGCTGTGATACTGAATGTCGTGCCAATGGTGTGTCAAATGTCATCATGGTTACCCATCATGGACAGTGTTTGGTGGAATTCCCATATTGAGACAAGCTTGGAAGCAGGAATCGTATCCACTTCCTAAACAACTTGCTTCTGGAAACTATGAACATAGAGAAATGACAGGGTTCAGGTCTTTTTTTCATAGGGTCGCTATGAACTGTGCTCAACTGGACAGCACTTAACAACAACAAAACAATCTTTAAGTAAAAATATCTCCTGAAGTTTTATTAAAATCAACAATAGTGTTATTGTTAGCTGCAGTCAACTATGACTCATAGAGGAACCATGAACACAAGGTCTCAACCTTGTCTCATCCTGTGTGATCTCACAATCCCTGACATGCTCGAGCACATTGCTGGTCACTGTGCCAATCCATCCTTTTGAGGGTCTTCATCCCCTTCTCTCAAACTCTACCTTTCCCAGCATGATGTCTTGTACCAAGGACTGGTCCTTTCCGACAACATGCCCAAAGTATGTGAGACTGCATTTTACCATCCTTGCTTCAAAGGAGCACTCTGGTTATCCTTCCTCTGAGCCTTATTTAAAAATCAACAAAAGTTACCTTAATCAGTAAAGAATGTCTGCCTTGAGCATTCTAGTCTTTTATGATCCATGTACAGGGGAATCAGTGGAGCCCTAGTGGCACAATTTAGAGTGGTTGACCTCCAACTCAAAGGTTGACAGTTTGAACCTATGAGTTGCTTCATGGGAGAAAGATGTGGCAGCCTTGTCTCTAAAGAGTTATTGCCTTGGAAACCCTACATTTTGATGACGTTCTATTCTGTCTTTTAGGATCACTATGAGTTGGGTTTGCCTTGACTGCATTGGGTTTGGTTTTTGGTTTAGAGAAGATCAACTGACAAGGACAAAAATAGGAAACTTAGGAGGCAGTGAGTTTCTGTTGAGAAAGGAACAACTCAGAAAAGGTTAGAACGATGTCCAATTAGATGAATGTAATCAGTGTAACTGAATTTTATAGATGGAAACCTGAGCTGGCTCTGCATACCTTCTCAGCAGCAGCAAATAAAGGATTTTTTAAATAAAATAACTGTCACTAGAGGGCAGCATTGGACTTGCCCTTAATCATAACTAGCCACCAAAAACGGAAGCTCCTTGCCAGCTCCAAAAGGTAAATAGTCAAGATGGTCGTTTCCACAGTGTTAGGTTACTAGAAGAAGTAAGAGCTGCACTGCTGTTGGATGAAAGAGCTCTTCTCAGGGACCATGTCCCTGTGGGTAGATGGGCAGAGAACTGAGAAGCTTACCATTGATCTTGTTCAACAGTTGATTTGCATCGAAGTCGTCGTGGTCTGCATTCTCCTGAGGAATGCCAACTTTACTGTTGAAATAACTGGAGAAGGCACTTGAAGCCCCAGAGGGAGCCTGCTCTCCCTTCCTCGCGGGCACTGCAGGCGGATGCTTTAGTTGCAAGTCCTTGAACATTTCTTTCACCTCTTTGACTTCTTTATCCGCAAGAGGGTCCAAGGCAGTGAAGGCATCATTGGAGATGTCCTTTGGAGTGGCAGTTCTGGGAGGAGGCTGAGGAGGAGTGACCAGAAGAGAGGAGAGCATAGAAGGGTGCTGGGATGGCCCAGCAGGAGCTGGGAATATATTGCTTTGGAAAGGATTCCCCAGAGAGGTCGTGGATGGCCAAGTATTGGGTGCCACAGATGGTGAAGGATTCCACACAGTTGGGCCAGGAGGTGGAGTTGAGCCTGCAAAGGATGAAGGCTGGTTCCAGCCTGGCACAGGTGGGCTGGCGCTATAAATCAGAGGCTGACCAAATCCTGAAGGCTGACCACTCATCATGGTTCCTGGGACCACTGAAGCGGATTGATTGAAGACTAAAGACGGTGGGTTCCACGGTCCTGCCTGAGGAGGTGTAACTGGTATACCACCTGAAGGAAGAGAGAAAAAGAGCTGCTCAGGAGACACAAATGAAAGAGACTCTTGCTTGCTTTTTGGAAATTTTAATGAGTCCTGTAGCTATTACCCTAATAGAACAGAAAAGATCACAGAATTCCGTGGAGAGCAAAGGCACATAAAAGCACAAATCAAACATTCTTATTCTTCAAAATCCCTGTTGAACAAGCACAGCACGAGTTTTTTCCTTTCAAGTTTCACCACACAGCGTGGGCCATGTGTCCTTACTCCTTTTCCTTAAAAAGGCTTCATGAATTTCTGAAAGCACAATTCTCCAGGAAGCATTTATAGCATATCTACATGGCATCTGCCTGCATTAAGCTTGGAGCCATATGATAAGCTACCATAGAAATGAAGGCTGGTTCCAAGCATAACTACTAGGTGGACAGACACAGTGGAGGCAACAATGTGCTCTAGCATAGCAGTGACTGTGAAGATTTCATTCTGACGTGTTGTTTGTTCTGTTGAGTTGGAGCCAATTCAATGGCACCCAACACCAACAGCAAAGATTAAGAGAGCTATCATTCAAATTCTGGTTGCATTTCAAAGCCCACGTTCTTTCAATTGAGGGGGTGGGGCCGTTCTTTTCATATTACACACTTGTGCATCTCAGGCTAGAACAGAGCCTGCCAGGTAAATTCATGAGCGAGCCTTAGGCCTCAATCTGCTTGCATTGCAAAGAAACCAAGCTTCCTCACTTTTTTTTTTTTTAAGTATCCATAGCACTTTATTGCAGATCTTGGGGAGCAGAGAGAATCCTCTCAAAAACTGCCTCCCTGCCTAAGGGTGGTTTTTATACTTGGGTAAGATGGTAATCTACTTAACATACTACTATTGCCAGTTCAAAAATACAGGATTTTTCTATTTGAAAAAGAACAATTTACACACAGGCAGTAAACAGACAAATTGTGATACAGTTTAGGTATAATCAAGAAAATCAGTGTCAAAAAGGTAAATGCTAATCCAGGAAAGATGCATTTCCCTTCTTTTTTTTTATAATTTTTTTATTTTTTATTTTATTTTTTTACAGAGGTTTTGGATTTCCATTCATTCATTGCCGCTATTTTCTCCCTTCCCACCCCTCCCCAGCAGCTCGCTTCCCCCTCCGAAGAGAGAAAAAAAAAAAGAAAAAAAATTCCTTCATTGCTAAGGTTGACACAGCTATATAAAAGGAAGAGAAAACTCAGTTGGTGCTGAGATACTTTTCTACTCTTATATATAAAATTGAGGAAGGGCTGCTTATCTTGGGAGGACTGTTTTGGATAAAAGTGCTTCCTGCTATGTGTCACTCACTAAACCTTGCCAGAAGTTGGAACAGGGTATTTAAGAGAGGAAGAGAAAGAGAGGATAACAGGAAACAAAATCCTTTCACAGTTACTAATTGCCTATGTAAGAGCCTCTGATTTTTAGAGTGAATTTTTAGATTTTTTAGTGAACTCCTGCACCGACACCATATTGATTAGAAACTAGTTAAATCATGAAAATTGAGCTCTTCATCCTGAGAAGCCCGTTCCCATTAATGCTCATATATAGGGCATTTGCTTTCCTGCCTCTTCCCAAGTGTATTAATGATCCAGATACGCTGTTACCACTAACAGGAAACCTAAATTCAGCTTCGTTCATGGTTCTCAAAACCTACTTGCTTTGAACTTTGAGCATATTTTAGTTATGAAAGTTTTCTCCCCCAACCAAGAAAGGCCTCGAAACTTTACTTAGGAATACTTTTGAGAAATGCTTTGAAAATGGTGTCCAGGGTCTTAACAAGAACTTGTGCTTTAAAGTTACTTAGCATTGGAAGCTGGTGTTACTTGACCCAAGTCTCACCATGAGCACTAGCCATCTGGCTATGAATACATATAGTGGTCAGAGAGTAGTGAGCTTGAGATAGGTTCATCTTAACATGCTTGCTTTGAAGTTAGGCGTTTGGAGATCGAATTATAGTGGGGGAAAAAACAGGGCCTAGAACTCGGGTGCACTGATTCTGAACCCACTGATTCTAGCTTCCTCTTTTGTCTCCTTGACTTCTTGGGACAGAATTGGTTTTTTAAAACGGATATGCATTCAAAAACTTAAATAAACAGATGCAGAAGTTCCATTTCATTTGAATTTCCGAATATCTTCCTTTCACAGTTAAGAGGCATGTTCTCTTGGTTTCTATAACACAGACTTCTAAAAGAGAGTTCACTTTGAACAAAGTCGTTGCTAGTATTTTCAAACACTTACTTAAATATTATTAACCAAAGTTAGAGTCACTCACTAATAGTTTCCACCAACTGGATGTGCTACAAATAGGGTAGAATTTTATCATCTGGTATGTTGGACTAGTTTTCTTCTCTTAGGAAAATATGTGGCTTTAGTCATAGATGGTATTAGTGGGAGTGGTGGTAAAAGAGAAAAATAACATTTTTGCCAGGAGTCAAAGGCCTTCCCAGGCAGATGCCTATGCCAGCCTTCATTCTCGTTCTACCAGATACCATACACCATGTTTCTAAGGCATTCAAGGTGCCACTGGAGACACAGGAGCAAGAGATAGAGAAAAAGAGAATGAGTAATAAAATGTTAATTTTATTATCTTCTGAAAAAGATTAAACTCAGTCAACGCTGAGAGAGCTCAGCTCCCTCCCTACTCCCCCCAGTTCTCCAAAGGAGACAGTCTCCCAGCTGGGTCCAGCGGAAGCCAGACCTACAACCTTCCATGGTTTGGCTGAGGATCCCAGCGAGTGGACAGGGGCTATACTGTAGAGCTCAGTTTGAGTTCCATGTCCAAACTTGGAAGAATCATCAGTATTCTGCAGTTGTATACCCCAAGGCCTCAACAGAGGCACCTAGCCAAAAAGCTTCACTTCGTCTGAATAAATTAACAGTTATAGGGTCCAGCTGTATTTTCAGGCTGACTAGTTAAATATTGGCTGTAAAAATTCTTCAGGGCATTGATATTGCACTACAAAGCAGTGCGATATGATCTTGTCTAGTCGCAGGCAGTGCATCAAGTTCTCTCATTTCCAGGAAGGGAAGGTACCAGTCAACTATGCTTAGCGGTGGGGAGTGGGGTGGGGGAAGAGCTAAGACAGAGGAAAATAAATCCCAAAGAGATCTGAAATAATGATAATCTCTTGATGGTGTAAATGCAAACAGAGATATCAGCTATTCAGCAGTGGGCTAACCCCCTATCCCATATCACCCTACTCTACATACAACTGACCAGATGCAACAGGACAGAATCCAAATATTTCCCTTTGCAGGAACACAACAGAGATGGGAGTAAAACAAAGATCCTGATGACTGACTCTGCAGGAGGTAAAGCAAGTCACTACCCTTGGTGAAATTTTACCAAAGAGGGCGGAGAGCTGAGCTTCATCTTATACCCCCTCCCAGGCCAGAGTCTATGTGGAGTTTGTGGAGGTGCCAAGAAGCAGAATAACAAAGAGTCCCCAGCGGGACAGCAAACACTGTTGTTGTGATGTCTGAAAACTGCACTATGGAGTCGGCAAAGAACTGGAGGCTGTGCTGAAGAGCAGCAGGGCCAGCCTTGAGCCCTGTGGCCAAGGGTGACCAAGTTTCCCAATGGCGCATGCACGTGAGTTAGAGACACATTCCCTAGCAGCCCTAGTGGACATCAGCCATTTGATAAAATATCATTTCTTCTCTAGAGTCTGTGCCCTTTTTAACTTTGGGGTTCTTGTACTTGTCTTTGGACTCTTAAAACTTTGGCAAAGAACTGCTAAGTGCTCAGAGCCTGGTCAGGACGCCTGTCCGCCACCCATGTAGCACACGCCTAGGTAACAGGCCCAGAGCTCAGAACTTCCATGCTATCTGGCTTACATTTACTTCAGACTACTGGCCTCCCAGGCGGAATGGGATGTAATTTGGACAGTGAATACACTTGCTACATAGTGATGGTTAATGGCACAGCAGGCGTGCATGCCACTGTGTTTCGCAATAAAGATGGGCGACAAAGCACTCTTTTCCTCGTTGCAGTTAGTCTCACCCTTATGGCTGTTTTCAGAAACTCTTACCAGTGGGTGCACGTAAATGCAAACGTGCAAAATGGTTTCTGCTCACATGCAACTCAAAAGGGTCAAATTTCAGTGACAAGAAGGATATCAAGTGCAGTAGGGTTAAAGGGGGGGGGTAGAAGTGGGAGACGGGTTTCTTAAGGTACACAAATCTCATGACCAAGGAGTTCTAGGAATTCAAAACACCTTTTCTCTATGCATCTTTATTTTATAAGTAATAGAATGACACCTATAGGCACTTACCTAGACCGGCAAGGGGCCCCACCGGGGTGGAAACACCCGTCTTAAAGAGATCCAGAGGGTTGGTTTGTAGGGCTGCAGGTTGTCCTGTAGGTGACATCTGTCCTGGGGATTCTGAGGCAGGAGGAGCAAAGGGGTCTGATGCGAGCAAGTCATTTGCTGAAGACTGGTAGGGCAGAGAGGCAAAGAGAAGAGTTACTCCACAACTGGGAAATGCGGCTTTTTGTCTTTCACTCTTGACCTCAGGTTTGAGACTCACACAAAAAAAGAAAGACTTGACCCTATAACTAAGAAAGAGCCAGTGTACACACATGCACAATGTAATGGATAGAATGCTGGGTCTTTACAACTAATAGAAACCAGAACCCTCAAAGTGAAATCTATTTTGCTTACTCACACATTGTCTGGTCTCCCTACCAGCTAAATGGATGAACTGGTAGCTAATAATAAGCAGCCTAAATAGTTTTAATTACATTATTGGACTTAAATCAATCTATATAGAGACAACCTCCAACCTGCCTGTTAAAATAAGAGATTTAAAAAGAGGCTTATAGACACCTTCTTTTAAATTGCTTTTAATGAAGGTGTACTGGAGAAATCAGTGACTAGGCATGTTTCTTCTAAGACAAGACATTATACAGTTAGCATTGAACCCCACCCCACCCAATACCACTGCGACTGAGTCAATGTCCACTCAGAGAGAGCCTCCATTGAGTTTGTGAGGCAGTAGGTCTTTATGGGAGAATACTCTTTTTCATTCTGCCAAGAAGCAGCTTGGTGGATTCGCAGTGCTGGCCTTCAGGTTAGCAAGCACAACATATAAGGCCCTAGGCCACCAGAATTCCCTCTGCCTTTGAAAGAGGATGCAAACTCGAGAATTTCACAGGATCACCTGGGACGCTGACGCAGCATGATCGATGTGCAGAGCGTGGATTAGTGTCGGGAAGGGACAAAAATCACAAAAAGACCTCTTGCCCACCCCTCCCAGAACATGGCGATCAAACTTACCAGAGGCACAGAAGCATAGCAGCATTAAAAATGGAAAAACTCGTGTTTAGTTAATAAGAAGTGACAAGACATGCAAACGGAAAGCAAGGTGTGGCACACACACAGCTGAGTGAGAGGCATAAAGAGGGTGGCGATTAGAGAAAGGTCTTTCTGGAGAACTGATGCATCTTGTCCCACCTCCTATGTTACAGCCACACAGGAGACTACAAGAGCAGCAGGAGAGAGAACGTGCATCACACCACCCTTTGGTAGCGAACATGCATTCTGCCAATGGAGATGTGGAGAAGACAATTCACCTTAGCAGTCCTTCTGCCTCTTCCTGGTTTGGTACTTTGTGGAGGTGGGATAATGGCTATGGAGTCATGTGGTGAGGGCCGGGCAGGGCTTTCCAAGTCCTGCTTTACGCCATTCGGTACTGACAGTTCTTTGGCTGGGCTTCCCACAAAAGGGTTCGGGGAGGATTTGCTATGGAAGCCGTTCTGTTCTCTTTCGGATACCCCGTTCTGAGTTCTCATTGCTGGCTGGGTCTGCGTGCTCGGGAAAGGCCACTGGCCTGCCTGAGCCTCCTGTTTGCCAGTTCGGTTAGAAATTTGGTCAAACTGCTGACCAAAGTAATCAACATCACCATTCAGGGGCCCATTACTCAGTGGAGCGGACAAGCTACGCAAATGCTCTTTCTTCTGATCTGGAGATTTGAGAGAATCAAACGAAGAGGGTGCCGATTGGTCTGGCTGAGTGAAAGGATCGTCACGGAAAGGATCAGGATTAGGGGTGGGAAAGAAGTTGAGATTGGCAGAAAAAGCATTTTCAGGCAAGAAGGAGGCCTGAGGCTTTGGTCGAGGAAGAGAGTAGGAGGCGGTGCCATTTGTTAAGAATGGATTTTCTCTTAAAGAATTCTGATTGGTGTCGATTTCAGAGTTTAGATCCACTAACAGGATATCTTTGCTTTCCTATCACATTTGGAGAAAAAAAAAAAAGAGAGAGAGAATGTTAGTCCAAGTTGTGACATCAAATGAGAAAACTACACAAAATCAACAGGTTTATCTAAAATTCCCATGTGAACTGTTATCGCCAACCTACTGTTCATCATTGAGACCCACCACCTCCCTCAGAGCATATACTAATATTATATAATAAATCTTCTCTGCCCTGGCCCTTGCTAAATTTCCTTTGATTCTCCTTTTATTTAAATCATTTGGGGGGAGGCGGGGAGCTTCATTAAATAGAACATTATAGTTGCTTATTTATTCACAGAACTGCTCGCTCTGGTTTGTACAAGCTGCTCGATGAATTCATGGTCATCATTGTTCCAAATCATGACTTAAGAGAGTGTTAAAAAAGACTAGCGACTAACTCCTGCAGGTAATGGTCTCACAAAATAAGGAATAGCCTCAGAAAGCTAGCCCAGCTTCCTGTCTGATGCATCAATTCAGTCTACCTAATCTACCTTTACCCTCCGAAATGAGTGAATTGATAGAAGCTGATATATGCCTATTTTTATCATTCTAGTTGTTAGGGTCATTACAATCAAATACACTTCCCTATCGTTTGGTCCATTCCCCCCCCCCCTTTTAATCAGGTGAATGATTTTCTCTTTACATCACATCTTTGGGCTATAACTCCTTCAAGTTCTCATTGAAGGTCTTAGTCAAGGTGGTCTTTATGTTGTTTGCTGTTGAGTCTGAACTGACCTATAGCTGACGGGCCAGCAGGTTTTCAGAGGCAGTAAATGACATGGGAGATTGCACAACCTGAGCCTGAGGAACAGCTAGTGAATTTGAACCGTATGGCTTTGAGATGGCAACTTAGCTTCTTACCACTAGGCCACCAGAACTCCTGCATGTCCTTTTAGGAAAGTGATACTCTAAATACTTACATCATTTATCACATTTACCACCCTTGTCTCGTGGTGAGGATTTTTGTCTTCTTGACATTGAGTCACCCCATCTATTCAGAAGTTAAAGTAAACTAATACCTAAGTACAGGCTGAACTTTAAGATTTAATATGCAAAGCTCAACTACAGGTATGCATTATTGAATGTTTATCAGGACAACATTTCATTGCATATGGGTCCACAATCTCATAGGTATTTTTCCTTTTTTAAAGAGAAAGCAACTTTCCTTCTTTGTTTCTTATTCCTTCCTAATAGTTAGAAAGATCTCCAACCCAGACTTGCTGCACTGGGACACAGAGGAGATTACTATTAGTTGAGTACATGGTTCTAGGATTAGGCTCTTGGTAATGGTAGTGACAGCAGGGGTGGGGGATAAGGGGGGTGGGCTGCTCCTGTGCTATAATAAGCAGAACAGCACGTGGGGCAGGCCATACTCTTGTGGCCTCTGTCATCAGCTCCAGCAGCAGCAACAATGGTTGCAGTGGCCTTGAGGCTGACCAGAAGTGGGATCCAAAAAGGTTTTCATGACGGATTTGCACAACACCCCAATTACATGACGTCTTCTTTTACAGAGTATGTTATGGATATTAAGCAACACATACTTATAACTCTCCTCTTTTGACTTTATGTTTTATTATTTAGGTTCTTGACTGTTAGTGAGATAATCTTCCTGGCTTTCTATGAATGTGACATAACAAGTTCATCTTGGATAGAGCCCTTACATTAACAGATCTTCCTATCCTTCTGAGTTGAGTAAAGGAACCATTGAAAAATCTTGCTGAAATGGAAATTATTTAGCACTACCCTGATCAGGTAACTAAATATTTCTGATCATCTGGAACCAAAACTACTTTAAAAGAATTGGAAATTCTCAAGTCAGGAAGTTCTTGGAAAGAAAAGGATACATTTTACAGAAAGCTTAGATTCTTGTCTGAGGCCATAGAAGAAACAGCAAATTCAGACCAAAATGGTATTCTATCTTTGAGATTCCCTTACCACAGACTATAAAGAACAGTTTTTAAAAACTAGATTTTCTCCATCAAAAGAAAGAATTAGCAATTAATTTTTTTTATCAAAGAAATGAACTGGAAGATCTTTTAATGCAAGGATCTTTGTACAATCAAAAGGTAGGGAAAAGTTTATTACACAGATTGTGATTTCAAGGTTCATTTCTTATGAGCCACCTCTTGGTAAGAACAGTTGGGTGTTCACTGCTGGCTGAGTTCAGCTTTTCAAATACGTCAGAAGAAGTTCTTAGGACACCAAACAGGAACCACAATGTTAGACTTCTGAACAGTCAGCCTATAAGTAAAATGTATAAGGCTCTCCTCAGGTTTTTGTTGTTAACCCAAGCAAGACTGCTCGTCTGTGTATAAACTACAGCTGAAAGATCAGAGGGTCCTCAGCACCCCGTTTGGCCAGAGCCTCCGTAATTCCTCCCTGGACGGCCAATGCTTCCACCACTCAGCCATGACCCATTTGGAGTGCATAAGGGACATGTAATGGCCGCATAAAGGTGAAGTAGCGTCCCTGCTCTTAAGAATGTCAGGTGGAGGTGTGGGGAGGATATGTAGGCAACCAAAGAGGTGTCTGCACAAAGGCATGATTTTAAATACTGAGTTCCACAGCCTAGATCTTCTGGAGGTGGAACATCTCATCTAACAATTCTACCCAGGCAGCCTGACAAATCCACTACTCAGAGCCTTTGATGGCTTTCTGCTTCTCTCTAAATGGAGGTAAGCTGTCTTAGCCCAACGTTCAAATGATCCACCATGAATTCAAGTTGTTTCTAGCCTAATGACTATTTTTCTCCACAACACTTCAAAGATTCAGCTCAAGTACAGATTCTTTACAGAGCTTTTCCCCATCCTTTTGTTTCCATTGATCCCTGCATTTCAACTTCACAAGTACCACCCTCTAACACGTTCTATATGCACGAATCTTACATTTTACTCTCTCGTCTCACTCCTTTTACTGATTTAACCTCCATTGTGGTAGATCATGCCTGAAATTCTTCTCATAGCTATGCTTTTATATGGTCAAGCTTTTAAAGCTAGACAGCATGCCTATTCATGTGTGTTATGTGTAAGCTTGGTGAGACACAGTATGGGAGGCTAACAAACAAGTGACTTTCCAATAAAGATAATGTGCTAGTGAAACACAAGTATTAGCACGACTTTATGTATGTATGCATTTTTAATGGCACAAAACAATTTTCCTTACTTTTTCAGAAAAGGGACAAGTGATTCAGTACACCACTAATAAAATCTGGATAATTTAGATTTCTCTCTCTTTTCTATCTTCCAGAACAACTGGTGCTGCAAGATTTGCATCTTTCTAAACATGTTGGCAAGATCACTCTATTTGTGATTTATGGGTATGGAGTCAACGCGTTGCCAGAATCTAACCAGCGCATATTAGCCTTTTTAGCTTTTTTTCTCACTTTTTGGAAACCATTTATTGTAATGGTTTTGCTTTAGTGATTGTTAGTTAAACTGAAAGTATAATTCCCCCCCCAATATATCAACAATTCTGAGAATGCATGAAATCAAATAGAAATGAGACCCAAGATTTCACATATCATATTTTCCTTTTTCAGAAGTTCCTAGACAACTAGGAGCAGAAGAAATAGTCAATGCTTCCTCAGCTCTCTTTCTGGAATTCCATTGCATATCTAGTGATTTGCTCCCTATCTCAACATACTTTGTTGGAATATCATCTTGAATATTAATTTCTTCTGGGGGGTAGGCCTCACAATGGAGATAGGGGTGGGAGGGAGTACCAACAAATCAAAAGAACTGCAAAGCCTACATCGACCTTTTTAGTATCATCTAACTCAGTGTTTCAGAAAATTTAAGCTATGAATGGGAATAAATTACAAGGGGAATGGAAGGTTCTATAGAGAAGTGAGTTAGGGTGCATTCTTTAAAAGAACATCAAACAACTTCTCTACTGCAGGCTTTTTAGTGGTTTTCCGATTCTACATTGCACCTTGTGATTCTCATAGGGTTGAAAGCAGAGACCAGGGTAGGCAGCTTCCGCTTCCTCCCACCTCACTTGGCCTGGGTGTTTTATGCAGTGAGACTTCACATGCCTGGCATTTTTCGCACAGCCCTTCAGGAAGTGAGGATCTCCCCCAATCCTGCGTTGCTGCATGGATTGCTGAACCCTTCCTTGCTGCCTAAGTCAGCCGAACAATTCCGAGTGAGAAGGGGTGCCTAGCATTATTCCTGACTACTTCCTTTTTGTCACTTGTTGCTGCTTCAATTTTCACCTTCAGGACAAGGAACCCATTTCCCTTAGAAGCATTCTCTGAATCTTTAAACTAGGTAATACCCTACATGTTAACATCATACTGTCCCATTGAAGTTAACTAATAGGTCTTGTGATTAGTCACCCTTCTAAGTAGTAACTTCTCGACATCATTAATGTACATCTCACCCAATGTTGTGCAAATGCTCAGGAAATGGCTGAATAAACAAAGAAGCTGCTAGAAGTCATGCAGAGTAATAGAAGTAATTTCACGTAAGACTTGACAGGGAAGATCTGAGGGCCAAAGCTTAAGGGTGGAATGTGGGTTTTTTTATCTCAGTAGATGATTTTATTCTGAATTCTAGTGGCTTCATTTTTGAAAAGAACTGATCAAACACCACAAGGTTGTTATGGATCAATCATTGTTGAGAAGACTTCATGTGCTAGGATATCATATTCATAATGAATAATTTTGTTAACAAGTCAAGTTTTGACTAAATGCAACTGAGTCTATTGCTCGTTTAGATCTTACTTTACAATGAAGGCGTGCTGTTCCAAGAGAAAGTGGTGAAAATGAGACTATGAATCCTTATGATTAACCACCCAATAAATATACTTCCTTCAAGTAGATTTATGCCAAGAGTTTTCATTCAGTTCCTTCTGATCACAAGGAATACCAAGAAGTACTACAATCCCTGATTTACCTTTAAGGAATATTAACATATCTGATTTAGTGTCAATAGGTTCCCACGGCAATCAAAGATTTAAATTCGTTCTAATAGATTTTTATACTTTGTGTAGAAAAAATCAGAAGTCATCTTCTACATTTCAAAGAGGTGCTCAAGATTTCTGGTGAATTGCTGATTTGGCTTACAGATGTCATTTGCATTACATTACAAATTTAAAAGCAAACACTTACTGTTGGGCTATTTAGGTCAGGAGGTGTAGACATGTCCCCAAACAAATCCATCTGGTCAACACCCTTAAAAAATATTTGGATTAGATTTAGATGTGTCTACCAAAAAAAAGAGATTTGTTTGTATTCTGAAGTAAATAATTCCTAAACAAAAGTTTAGGAAAAATAGCTCTCACAATTTGGTTTTCATTTAAGCAATACAGGTTTGATATCTGGCTATTTAGATCAGAAAATGTAGAGATGTCCCCAAAGAAATCCAACATCCTTAAGAACATAGTTATGTTAGATTCAGATGTGTCTACTCCAGCCACTACTTTGTATGTAGAAATAAGTGCTACACAAATATTTAGAAAAATACTGGTGGTCACTGGAGTTTCATTTAACTAATATCTATAATAAAAACTTGTGTTCAGGAAAAGTAGGGATCTTACAACGTCACATACATACCAATTTCAGTTTGGGAGCTTGGTCATCAAGATTCATTAGTGCCTCGCTTCCATTCTGAAAAGATGGCAAAATATTTAAGGGTTTAGTTGATGAGTTTTCCCTACAGCCTTTGCTGTCCTACTATATTGATTTGTGATTTGGGCATGATCATTCAATGATATATCTTCAGGGGCCAGAGCCATGGGCACACAGTGATAAACCAGGAGTGAAGAGAGCTTGGGCAGTGAAACAACAGCTTACATATGTCACACACACACACACACATTTCCTAGGGAGTCAAGATGCAGTTTTACCTCTACTGTTTTGTTGGCTTCTTCAGTCTGAAAAAGAAAGGGAGAAATTCAGTGATTGTCTTTGTAGTTAAAAGAAATTAAACAGAAGAACAATTCTCCTTATGACCTCACAAGTATAGGCAAAAGAATCTTGCCTGTAACAACAACAAAAACATATCAGCCTATTTATTTAATAGCAATAGTGGGTTTCAACTGTTGTTGTTGTTAGGTGCTGTGGAGTTGAGCATGACTCATAGAGACCCTCTGAACAAACGATCTGAACCCTGTTCTATCCTGCACCATCCTCACACTTCCTGACACACAAAAGCCCATTACAGCAGTCACCATGTCAATCCACCTGGTCGAGTGTCTTCCTCTCCTTCGTCGACCCTCCACTCTTCCCAGCATCATGTCCCTTTCCAAGAAATAGCCCTTCCTAAGAACATGCTCAAAGTTTGTGAGGCAGAGCCTCATCATTCTTGCCTCTAAAGAGCACTCTGACTGTAACTTCTCCAAGACACACCTGTTTTATCTTTGGGCCATCCATGGGATATTCAGTGTTTCAACAGGTTTATTAAAAGTAAACTTTTCTTGTATTGACTCAACTCATTGCTGTTAAGTCAAATCAACTCATAGCTAACACTCTAGGGTTTTGGTGGCTGTAAAATCACACTGGAGGAGACTTCCTATCTTTCTCCCTCAGACTCACTGGTAGATCTGAACTTGCAGAGAGGAACCACCTCTGGGTTAGTGGTGCAGATCCCGACATACCAGAGCTTCCTTGTTCTGTATTATTCTCTTAAATTAATATGAAGCTTGTTGAAGAGGAGAAATAAGAGCCATAGACTAGAAATTGGAAAAATCAACTATAATAACCTCCATTTACTGTCTTATCAGGAAAATACACTAAATTTCCAACTCTCTGGAAAAACCATATGCATACAAAAAGTTCAAACATGGTCCTGAACACAAGCAATCTCCAGGTCTGACCCAGACAACGCCTCCTTTTTGCCCTTTAATGTGATGCAAATTTGCCCTCACTTTGAAATAAATGAACCATCTGTACTTGCAATAAATTCCTTCTCACATCGCTCTTACTTGCTGCATGTGCAGCTTTTAAATCATTGAAAGGGCTCCCAGTCTATTCTTGCATTAAAGTAAGGGTAACCCATAACCATAAAGACCTATTGTAATTCACAGACAAATTCAATTTAAAGACACACTTATCGTAACCTGGGAACCACATGCATAGTCTTAAATGTAACAGAGCTTATTCTCTCTAGTACTTGCCTTTTTCTTTTCTTCTTCCTTTTTCTTCACATTGTAGATAACTTGAAAAAGGTCTTTAAGATCAACCACTAATGGCTCAGCCTAGGACAATAGAAACCATTTTATTATTATTTTAATCTTAACATTTTTCCCTCTGTCCTCCATCAGTTCTGCTTAGTACAGGTGTCCCCCTTTGTCTTGTTATAGTTATTTACCAGCATTGGAACCAACTCCTAGTGGACACATCAGTGGGTTTTCAGAGGCAGTTAAGCACATGGGAGAAGCCCGCCCATCTTGGCAGCACAATTCCAAGGGACCTCTGGTGGCCTAGTGGCAAGAAGCTGCACTGCAATCCCAAAGCTGGTTCAAGGCCACCAGCTGCTCCATGGAAGGATGGGCAACCTCCTCCCGTGTGATTAACTGCCTCTGAAAATATGCTGGAGGGTCAGCCACAGGTCGGGTTGGTTCCAACTCTATGGTACACAATAACAAGGCCACTAGACGGTTACATAAAAGCTTCTCACTGTTGATGGATAAGTACCATCGCCCTCATCATACATAAAGAACAACAAGGGTTTAAATAAAAGAAGAGATACCATAACCCTTTCCCGAGTCCCTTCAAGGTTCCTAGTTCAGTCTTGTTCTAAAAGCATCATTGACTTCCAGACTCACTTGTGTTGTGTAGGGTGGCGAAATACCTCAGACACAAAATGACAAACATTACATAACACTATTACTGTAAAATGGAACTGACATGTGGGTCGAGGGGAAGAACAGGATAAAAGGGAGTAGATAAAGGACACTGCACTGGAACAGATAAAAGAAAGGACTATCTTAAAGGAATGTATGGACAACAATCTGGGACAAGAGGTGCATGACAACAAGGGGAGGACAAGGGGAGGGAGCAGGAGGAAAATGTGCAACAACAAATGAGTAAACACCCAACCTTACAGTAAAGGTCCATTAAAATTACAATAAAACTCCCAAAGCAGCAATGACTTCATAAGAAAGTCCATTCTTATGATGTTTTTCCACTTGCAATGTGGTTTAATGACACTTATGTCAGTGAAGATAGTCCATCTTCGGATCATGGTTTAATCGTCCAATATATTCCCCCATCAAAATTTCTAGTAGACTGATCGACATTACTAAAATGAATGGAGGACATACACTGCCATCTGCTACCATGAAGCAAACCTATCAGTCATGGCAATAATCTCTCTTTCTCCAGGTCTTTTCCCACCCCACCCCCCTTGCTGGTGGAGTTAAACCTTTGACCATGTGGTTCCTAGTGTTCCACTTCTCCACCAAGGCCTCCTTCCAACAGGTCTCAAGTCCGTAGGTGTATTTCATGACTTTGAGTTTAGAACATTGAGAAAGTCTGCATCAGGGGCCTCTCCAAATTACTGAGAAACAATGATGTTAGTTTGAGGTCTAAGGTGTGTTTGATTCAGACTGTGGCCTTTTCAACCACTTGCTGTGCTGCTGAGAGATGGACAATGAATCAGGATGACACAAGAAAACTTGATGCCTTTGAATTGTGGTGCTGGAGAGAGTACTGAACATCCCAAAGGACTGCCAAAGGAGCAAACAAGTACGTCTCGGAGAAGGTGCAGCCAGAATGTTCCTTGCTTGCAGACAAGGATGGCAAAGCCTCACATACTCTAGGCATGTTGCTAGGAAAGGCTATGCCTTGTGATGGGGTGGTATTGCTAAGTTCAGAATTCTGTATGCATGTATCAGTTATGGAACTATAGTTATAAAATTGGCATCCGTTTTCTCCAGACTGAAGGGCTAATTGCTTGATCTTAGAATTCTTAGTGTCCTTTCTTTAATCTGTATGTTTATCAGAAGAAGAGAAGCATCTCCTAGATTAGCTGGTATCACTTTGAAGCTATTTTCCCCAACCATATGTAAATTGTAACTTACTCTGCCTGTTTGCTGGGAAAAGGGAGGATCTGGGTGTGAATGATTTTCTTTCAGATACAGAAATTCTTTGATTTTAGTATAAAAGCTGGTGACCTCTCCCAGTCAGGGAGGCAGTCTTGGAAGCCGACCAGCCGTCCTCCCAGATCGGTAATAAAGTGCTTATGGATATTGCAATCTGTTTGTCTTATTGGCAATTGATTACAGAAAGAACCCCTTGCATTCAGTAGCACCTGGAGAAGGAAATAATTTTTGGTAAAGTGGAGGGATATGAAGGAGAGAAAAGCCCTCAAGCAGATGGACTGACACAGTGACTGCAGCAATGGCGCTCGAGTGTGTCAGAGATTGTAAAGATGGTATAGGATAGGACAAGGTTCAGATCGGTTGTTCATAGGGTTGCTGGAAGTCATACTCGACTTGGTGGCACCTGACAGTGACAGCAGAGCTTAACTGTTCTGATAGAGACTGGTAGATGCCCCAACACTGTGGCCATTCGTCACTCTTCAGGGCTAGGACTGAACTCATTCCTGTGGCTCAACTTTCACTCAAACGATAACTGACAGGCTACATATTGAACAATAAGACCAGAGAGGTACTTACTCCTCAGAACACTCAATCACACAGGATCTAAAAGATAGCGTTTAGCCAAGATAAAACTTCAAAGGCAGAAAAGAACAAGATAGAACGATGAATAGAAACAAGAACTACAGAGAGATATTAGGATAAAAGCTACTGTCACATGAGGAGTGTCACTAGTGTCATAAAATGAAGCGTGTATGAATGGCTGAAAAGCCAATGTGCTGGGTAAAATACTCTTCAAATCACAGAAAAGATAAAGAGAGAAAAAAAAGATGTAACACTTACCTGTTGTCCTGTTTTTATGGCAAAAAATTGATGCTGCCCTTCCCCTCCGCATACATAACCAAATGCTCGGTTGTCGGTCACATCCCGGGCAATGAAAGAAATTTTATTTACTGGATGTTCATGCTCTATTACCTGCAAAAGGGGCATCAGCAAAGAGGTGCTTAGAAAACGTGCATCTGTTTAGAAGGAACAACAACTAAGCTTCAGGGGCGAAGAGGCTAAAATGTTTGATGGAAGAATTTTTAGCCACTGAGCTACAGCTATATTCACTTCACTGGAGAGGACTCCAAATAGAAGAGAAAGCTGGGGTGTGAGTGGGGGTGGGGAGAGTAGGAATAATGGTCTGTCTTAAACTTTGGTGCTAGAGTCTCCCTGTGTCAAAAATAAGATGCCATGTAGCACGAAGGAACTTAACATTAGGAAATCATGAATGTCTAAGGCCAAGCTGGTGATAAAAAACACCAAGCAAGGCTACTTCCCCAACTTACCAAATTATCTGAGTGGTATTTATAGAATACAGGTGTTTATAAATGAGCAGCATGACTAAACTGGTGCAGTGTCACCAGAGAACCTTGGACGAAGGCTCAAAGGAAACGTCGTAATGGAAACATGGTTCCCCAGTACATTCTGGTGGTAAATTACCAAATGCGGCCTTCAAACTATCAATATTCCTCAACCTCAAATCATCTGTGCCATATGACCCAGAGGCTTTATATGGTGGGAGTTTATGGATTTAGTGATAACTTACCCGCTTTTTCTCTCCCTTCTCCTTTCACATGGGTTGTGTTGTTATGTGCTGTCGAGTCACTTGTGACTCATAGCAAGCCTATGCACAACAGCTCTGAACCCTGCTCTATCCTGAGCCAAACTTATTGTCTCTGACACACCTATCCCCATTACCCCAGTGACTGACCCCATCTCATTGAGGGTCTTCCTCTCTTGTGCTATCCCTCTCCCATTCCAAGAATGATGTCCTTCTTCAAGGACTGATCCTTCCTTGCAACATGCCCAAAGTATGTGAGATCGAGCTTCAGAATCCTTGCCTCCAAGGAGTGGCCTGCTTTCACCCTCTCTAGAATGAACCCATGTGTTCTCCTGGCAGTCTATGGTATATATTCAGTACTCTTTTCCAGCACCACAGCTTGAAAGATCAATTTTCCTTCTATCATCCTTAGTCATTGGTTGCCTTTCTGATGCATAGCAAGTAATTGCAAAGATGATGGCCCACATCAGGTGTACTTTATTCTTCAGACTAACACCGTTGCTCTTCAGTACTCTGGATAGGTCCCTGATAGGAGGATTTCCTAATACAATTTGTCTTATGATTTCCTGGCTGTTGGTACCAAGAGTGTTGATTGTGGAGACAAGGAAACCAAATCTATCAACAGTCTCAAACTCTGCACTGTCTATCATGATGCTGCCAATCGGCCCAGTAGTGAAAATTTCTGTCTTCTTGATGTTAAGCTTCAATCCATAGTGAAGGCTGCAGTCCTTGACCCTCTGCAGCAAAAGACTCAGCCCCCACTCAGTTTCAGGATGCTACACTGTGTCATCTGCATAACACAGGATGTAGCAGGACTCAAATCTTTAGTGATATTTCTAGGTAGATGGAATTTGTTTTAACTTCTGTTTGCAAATACCAAAGGCCATGTCAGTGTTTATATTGGGTGACCTAGAAGGCTTGAGAGAGAATGCATGTGAAGGAAATCTGACACTGTTTTCTAGGGGGCAGGGGAAAAGAGTTGAGATAGGGAAGGATGGAAACAGGGGTATGGAATTAGAAGATCAGTAAAGGCAGCAGATACAGCCGTTCTAGGGTACATAGAGTTCCAGAGTCCAACAATTTGAAAAGCTGATTTTGCCTATTAGACAATGGTTCTCTTTGGGAAGGTATAAGAGCTCTGGTAGTGTATATGCTAAAATACTAATGAAAATGAGCCACAAACAACCCTTTTAAGAGACGGTAACTTATTATACTGGAATAAAATCCTGAGATAGCCCAATAATAAAAAATATGGTAGCCCTTTGATGAAGTTTGAAAAGTTAAGCAAGCCTGTTCATATGTGATAGAATGCCGATCACAAGCTATAGCTGTGGGCTAAGGAGACAAGAAAAAGAGACAAGTATAAACCCAATGAACCCCATCTAGGTGTGTTACAGTTAATGTTCTCATTTTAGGTTAGATGGCAACGTGTGATCAACATATTAAAATAAAACTCATACACAAATTCAATATTAGGAACTTAGGGTGCTAGTCACCTAGTTCTGTTACTGTGCACATGAAACCACCAAATTATCCAAATGGTGGTTAACAGAATATCTGTGTTTACAGACTTAGATTTATAATTACAGGGAATGAGTGTCAAAAGAAAGCATCTTGATTCTTTATTTTCTACTTTTTTTTCCCTTCTTCTGGAGAAGCAATAAACACTGTATGTTTTCCTACTGAACTTCAGGAAGAGGAGCTTCAGTGCAAGTAGTAATTTGTCAGACCAGGGTGGCAACGTCCATGTGCATGCAAACAAAGTCTTACTTACCCCAGTTTTCTCATCGATTATTTTTATCCCAGAAAGTGAGATGTTGACCCAGATCCTTTGCTTGTGTTGTCCCTGAGACCGACCGGCAGCCGCCATTCCCTGATGAGGTTGAGAAAGCAAGAAGAATCTTGTTAAATGTATTCTACAATAGTCATAATATTTGAAAAAGACTAAACCATAAAAGATAGTAACTTTTTTTTCTTTCAGCTTGGTTTACCCTTTATGAATGGAGCAGGCACCTTGACACGAGAGACAGCAGACGGAAGACAACATGCTGAGCTGGGGACATAACGACTCAGCTCAGCATACCTGGAAATGTCTCTCTCATTCTGTTGGCTTCAGAACACTCATTGGTGAAGACAATAGGGCTGAACTAGGATTGTTATTACAGCTGTGATTTCTAGATCTTGCATTATTCGAGATATTATTTAGATGCCCTGCATTATCTTTAATTATAATTATCACATGTTGTTGTGTACCCTTGAATCAGAACTGACCCAAAGCTGATCCTCCAGGGAATTTTCAGAGGTAATAAATCACACAGATGGAGATTCCCTTTTTTCCCCTCGCAGAGCAGCTGATTGATTCAAACTACGTGCTTTTGGGTCAGCGGCGCAATTCCCTACCACTAAGCCACCAGAGTTCCTTACTTTCCAAATAGTAACATGGTAATAAAGTTAAACCAAACTCACTGACTCATGGCAATCCTCCACAGGAGCTTAATCTTTCTCCCAAAAAAATTGACTTGTGCAGTAAAACCACTGGTTTTTCAGTTAACAACCCAATACATAATATACTATACAGGCAAGGCTCCTTAACATAGTACTAGAATTTAAAACCAAAGGGTTAATCCTGAAGAACACTTTTTTCTAAAGCTGCTGTTGTTACGTGCTGCTGAACGGAACTGACTCATGGCTGACTCGTCAACATATTTGCAGAGCCCGTAAATCACATGGGAGGAGATTGCCCATCTTTCTCCTGCAGAGCAGCTGGAGGATTCAAACTGCCTGCCTGCCTTCAGGTTGGCAGGGCAGCCTTGCCCCTCGGCCACCAGAGCTCCCTGTGTTTCTAAGGAACAGCCATGAATGTTACCTGAATACTTCAAAGGTCTGAAATAGGTTATCCTCTCCTCACTACCTAAAGACAGACAATAAATGCACACATTTGCACACAGCTTTTAGAATTATTAATGAGGAAAGTTATAAGGAGAAGGTTGGCTATCCCAAATGATCAATGTGCCAAAAGAGAAGGTGTCTGGGATCTGCTATAATTGAATAAATTAGCTTTCCATATCAAAACTCAATATACACTCCAACTCACAGCTTCTCATAAAATGAGGCTCTGCTAGGTTAAGTATGTGATTAGCTGATTTCCTTTAAACAACTGAGACACAGACAAATAAGAGCTTCTGCTTAGATTCTCTTCCACAGGACATTGCCTTTAAGACACATACATTCTTTCTTCTTTCTTTTTACCTTTAATTTCATCATAGAGTCTTGGCTCATTTTATCTCCTCTTGCATCTGGCACATCATCAATACCAATTAGCTTTGCCTTGTATTTTACACCATCACCTTTGAACCTGGCCAAGAGATACTCATCAGTCTTTCCAGAGCCTGAGGAAAAAGAGAAATACAAGATAAATTTTAGATAAGGGTATTTAAATATCAGTTCAAGGTATAACCAACTACAAACAGAATTGCCAAAGTTTTATTGTGTCTCTAGACTAAATCTATCCCACATACTTTGGGCATGCTGCCCGGAGGGACTGTTTCTTGGAGAAAGACATCATGCTTGGGAGGCTGTAGGGACAGCACAGGGGGGGAAGATCCTGGATGAGATGGGTTGACACAGTGACGGGGTAACGGGGGTAGATGTGTCAGAGACAGTGAGATTGGCTCAGAATATGGCAGGGGTCAGAGCTATTGTGTATAGGGTGGCTATGAGTCACAAGCAACTCTACGGCTAATAACAATGATAAGAACAATAGGCTAAATCTTTATAATATTATACGAAATTTGCAACATTCATTTAAAGCAGAAGACTTACTTCCTCGTCTATGTACTTCATTAAGTCAGTAAATTCTTACTTTTACATAATTTAGCCCAATGAGGAGATTAACTGACACAGTAACTGGGGTAATGAGGGTCGGATCAGAGACAGTGAGACTGGCTCAGGATAAGAGAGGGTATTGTAGCTACTGTAGCAAGCAACACAATAGCACATAACAACAACAATAACAAGATCTCTAAAGGAGTCCGTACACATGCTTACCACATTCCTAATTGGAAGACTGGGAGTTTAAATCTATTCAGAGATGTCCTAGAAGAAAGGCCTGATGATCTATTTATGAAAATCATCCATAAAACACCTCAAGGGACACATCTCTAATCTGACACATACAGAGTCAGAATTAACTTTCCAATAACTGGTTCTGTTAGTGCTGTCTACAAAATTTTTGTTGTTGCTGTTGGGTTGCCATCGAGTTGACGATACCTCATAGCCAGCCTATGAACAACAGATCTGAACCTTGTCCTCTCCTGCGCTTTCCTCACAAACTCTGATATGCTGGAGTCCACTGTTATAGCCACTGGGTTAATCCATCTTGTGAAGGACCTGCTTCTCTTTCTTTGTCCCTCCACCTTTCCCAGCATGATGTCTCTTTCCAAGGACTAGTCCCTCCTTAGAGCATGCCCCAAATCTGTGAGATGAAGTTTCACCATCTTGCCTTTAAGGAGAACTTTGGTTAGACATCCATTAGTTACTTGCCATTGAGTCAGAACCAACTCATAGACGACCCTCCAGTGGGCTTTCAGAAGTGGTAAATTGCACAGGAAGAGATAGTCCATTTTTCTCCTGTAGAACAGCTGGTGCATTCGAACTGCAGGCCTTTAGGTTGGCACTATAGCTTCTTACTCACTGCACAACCAGATTTCCACTTTCATTAGAGTGGGGATAAAAAAAATATCAAAGATTCAAAATGAACAGGACTATAGGAGACTGACAGGTATATGTGAAAAGGAATTTGGGGCTATTTTTCACCATTAAGGTTTTTTCCAGATTTTGAAGAATATAGAGGATAACACATTTTTGAAAGGAAAAAATAAGCCGCCTCATAATTTACTGGCATTTCCAACTGATAGAAGGCCAGAGAGATTTTTTTTTTATATGACTTCTTTGGCAGCATCAGGATGGATGGTGAAGAGATTGAGATTGTACACAGCTTTAGTTTGCTTGGCTCCATAGTCAACAGTCTTGGCACCAGCAGCCAGGAAATTAAAAGGCGCATTGCCATGGGAAAGTCTGCTGTTAGGGACCTCTCCAAAGTACTCAAGAGCAATGGTGTCGCCCTTCTGGAGACTAAGGTGTGTCTGATACAGGTAATGGTCTTCACAATCACTTGTTATGCATCAGAGAGTTGGACAATGACCAAGGAGGATAGAAGGAGAATTGATGCCTTTGAGCTGTGGTGCTGGAGAAGAGTACTGAGAATACCACGGACTGCTAGGAAAACAAACAGATTTGTCCTGGAAAGGGTTAAACCGGGTGGCTCCTTGGAGGCAAGGATTCTGAGGCTCCGTCTAACATACTTTGGACATGTTGTGAGGAGAGACCGGTCCTTAGAGAGGGACATCATGCTTGGGAGGGTGGAGGGACAGCGCAGGAGAGGAAGGCCCTCTATGAGGTGGATTGATTCAGTGACTGGGATAATTGGGATGGGAGTGTCAGAGACAGTGTGAATGGCACAGGATAGAGCACGGTTTAGGGCTGTTGTACATAGGGTCGCTATGAGTCGCAAACGACTCGATGGCACATAACAACAACAACAACAACAATGACTTCTTTTGAAAAACCCATACAAGTCTCTCTCCTGTAAGAAAAAAGGTACGTGAGCCGTGGTCAATTCTCATCTACGAATGATCAAGGACTCATTCCAGTGACACTTGTGATCAAAATGGATAGGCGGAGGGGTGGGTAAGGAAATGGGAAAGATATGGCATGAAAAACAATGTATATGAACTTTTTAAGTTAACTAGTATACATTAAAAATTTAAAAAACATAAAAAGAGGAAGGGCTAAAAAAGTACAGCTCTTGATTTTCAGAGACAGTTACTTCAATAAAGAAAGACATTACTTAAAGATAATCCTATAATAATTGATAGTTGTGTTTATCAAATGAACATGATCCTATTCAATTTTTCCAGCAGATCCCACAATGGTGAGTTAAGGATTAAAAATTAGATCTTACTGTGTGTGGATGGGGCTCATATAGGTTCAGGTTCTCTGCCAAAGTATAGATTTTCTGTTTAAGAAGTTAGCTTCATGGATTGAGAAATTATGGTACCTTCACACAATGGAACACTATGCAGCACGTAGGAGCAATGATTTTGTAAATTATTATCTAATTTGGGAGGGACTGGAGAGCATTATGCTGAGTGAACTAACTCAGTCCCACAAGGATAAATATCGTATAAAGCCATTATTGTAGAACAAGGATGAAGATCCAAGAGGGGTGGGAGAGGGTGGAAGCAGGGGGATGAGGACGTGCGGGAGAAGAGGGGGCAATAAATCAATGGGTTGTGATGGGGGGTGAGGGAAATGGAAAGAATTTGTTCTTGAAAACAATATATTCGAGTTTTGTAAATAAACTAGTAGAAAAAGAGGGGGGGGGAGGAAGTTAGCGTCATGGTGAGCCCATGTATGTGTAACAGAACAAAACACTGCCCAGTTCTCTACCACCTACATAATCAGCTGCAGATTGGATAACATTTCATTGAAATCTAGCTTCTGTGGGCTGACTCGTTTGGAAGTAAGTCTTTGGGCCTTTTCAGGCCATAGCTAAAACATTGTCCGTATCATAACAACACACACACTATCGCTGACAGATGGTGCTGTGCATGAAGTGAACTGGCCTAGAATCAACCTCTGTCTCCTGAGTGCAAGCTCTCCGAAGGAGACACAGAACTGACATCGCTCGAGGCTAAACTGATGTGGCAGCAAGAGAAGAGCCTGCTCTGACTTCACCCCAAACCTCAGATTTCCCCAGACCCAGCCGTCTTCAGCTCTTCTCACTGGCTTCCTCGCACTGGCTTCTGGTGGGTGTCTCCATACCTTTCTTTTTTTCCTTCTTTGATGGTGCTTTTGGTGCAGCCTGTTGGTCTGGCTGACCGTTGGTTGTACTGGCTTCTGCTTCGTTAGACATAGCAAAAGGTCAGGTATCAGAACCCAGCTCCAGCAGACACTTAACGGCACCAGGCGACTCCTGATGGAGAGGTCTCACATGAACATCACCTACAGACACCTGCAGGCAGAACACAGAGGTTTCATGAGATCATAACATATGAGACACAGACTTTATGCCAGATCAACTTATACCTGCTGTTGTTGTTGTTACATACTGTTCAGTCAGAACCAATACATAACTGATGCTCTAGCAGGTTTTCAGAGGCAGTAAACTGCACGGGAAGAGAATTCCTATCTTTCTCCCACAGCACAGCTGGTGGATTCGAACCATGTACCTTTGAGTTGGCAGTGCAATTCCTTATGACTAGGCCAACAGAGCTCCCTATACATACACCTATTAAGTTTCACTAGGTATCTATATGTTCACTTCATCTACTACTTGCTGAACCTGCAAGCAGGAAATAGGTAGAATTTCTTTGTAATTCTGCAAACAGAAAGATTGTTGTTGTTAAGTCCCGGAGGTCATAGGTAGAATCCTAATGTTTTCAGATGCACTTATCAATATTAATGAAATGAAACTCATGCCTTTATTATCATCATGGATGTTGTTGTTAAGTGACTTTTAATGAACCAAAATTTGTAATACCAGATTTCCAACGCCAGTTGCAGTCTTATCACCAGGCTTAGTAGTCAATTTATATTCTGCTATACATATGTAGATGCATTACTTTGGGCAACTCTGCTTTCAGGGGCCACTCTAAAATAATAAAGAGCAGTGATGTCAGTTTGAAGACTAAGGTGTGCTTGATTCAGGCCAAGGTCTTTCCCATCACTTGTTATGCATCTGAGAGCTGGACAGTGAATAAGGCTGACAGCAGAATTAATACCTCTGAGTTGTCGTGTTGGAGAAGAGTACTGAATATCCCATGGACTGACAAAAGAATGAATAGATATGTCTTGTTAAGGGTGCAGCCAGAGTGGGCGCAGAGACGGCACAGTCTTTTTTATTTTGGACATCTTGCTAGGAGAAGCTCTTCCTTGGAAAAAGATTTCATGCTTGAAAGGGTGGAAGGTCAGCAAAAGAGAGGAAGACCCCATCAAGGGGGGTTGACATGGTGACTGTAGCAATAGGCTCAAGTGTATCAGAAGTGGTGAAGATGACACGGAATGGGACAGGATTCAGATCTGTTGATCACAGGGTTGTCATGAGTCTTACTTGGCTTGACAGCACCTAAAACCAACAACCTGAATTAATGCCTTTAAGTGGTCTTGGAGAAGAGTATTGAATATCTCAAGGACAGCCAAAAGAACACAGATGTGTCTTAGAGAGGAAGCAGAGTGATCAGAAGGCAAAGATGACAAAGCTTCATTTCACATGTTGTTAGGAGAACTAATTCCTTGGAAAGGGACATCATGCTCAGAAAGGTGGAGGGTCAGTAAAGGAGAGGAAGACCCTCAACCAAGTAGATTGACACAGTGATTGCAGTAATGGCCCCAAGTATATTGTGAGGATGGCACAAGATAGGACATGTTCAGATCTGTTGTTCATAAGGTCACTGTGGGTCATCGAGAGCACCTATTGACAACAGTGTGAAACCTGGAAGCTCTGGTGAGAAGCTGTACTGCAATCCCAAAGGCATGAGGTTTGAATTCACCAGCTGCTTGCTCCATGGGAGAAGAATGGACAATCTCCTCCTGCCTCTGAAAACTCGTTATGTATGTGTGTGTGAGAGAAAGAATTTTATACCAGTGTGATTGCAGTTAGATTTCTCTTAGGGCTTAAATATAGAGCACTATACCCCAATCTCTTACTCTGTTCTACCGTGCGTGTCCAAGTGGTGCAGAGAAGAAGGCTTACTTCCAGATTCGGTTCCTTTCACAGAGAAAGAATTAATTTAACACTTACATTCAAATGTGCATTCCTTCCAACAATGTTCCAGAACTGTCAGTCAAGTCCACTAACCTCCAGCAGGATTTAGACTGACTTTTGGAAAATAAGGTACAGGGACCCCAGAGGTAAAATTAAAAAAAAATTTAAAAATTAACAAAAATAATAATTTCTTATTCCTTTAATGAGCTTACCAAAAAGATATTACTGAAGGAATAGTTTAGATTGCACTAAACTGTGAAAGCTGGCTGACAGCACTAGTATAGTCAAAGTTTTCTTACAAAAAGACACAGGTGAATGTGAGATTATTCAGTGAATCACCTTATGCTTTTATTTAGTCTCATTTGCTGGGTTCAGAGGTCTATCTGGGCAAGGAACACAAAATTAGTCAAGTAACATACACACATAAGGAGGGATTACAGACCAGAGCTCAAAAGATGAGCAAAAGGTCACACAGACAGTTCCCTATCTCAACTTGGCTAGTAATTCTGGTTTCCTGGGAGAGGCTGTTTCCTTCACTAGAAATATAAGCAGAAATAAATACCTGACAACAAACGAGACTCTAAAATTATTTATACACACACACACACACACACACACACTTTATTCCTTTTTTTTAAGGCTCACATCAAACAGGAAATGACAAACGAAGCACCCAAGCCGACGAAATGAGCTCTCATTTGAGTGAAGATAGCTACTGTGGATTTTGGACTTAATACAAAGCTCCCTGCAAGAACCTGGAGACTTCCTCCTTCCATGTCACTAGAATCAGATGACTAGGAGAGAACTGGGAGCTTGCGACATCTTTCCTGGATTCTGAGAAGTCTCCAGAGATGCACACAGGAAGACGGAATGAGTCATTGAAGGATGACTGGGCCATTTGCACTAAGAATTGGCTATAGTTTGTCTCTTTATTAAAGTGATCCGTGGAAGTCATCTGTTATGTATTAATGGATTGGAACTGATCCATAGCTGAGCCTCCAGTGTGTTATTTGAGGTAGTAAATCCCACGGGAGGAGACTGCCATCTTTCCCCTGTGGAGCAGCTGGTGGCTTTGAACTGCATACCTTCATGTTGGCAACACAAGGGCCTTAGAGTCATCAGCAGAGTGGACAACGACCGGTCTGGACGTTCGGGGACAGAACAAGTTGGCACATTTTTTTCTACCTCCCACTGGCAGAAATGTAATGGTATCAGCAATGGTACACTTAAGTATTTGAGAATATCAAAGCCGTGTGACGGCACACTCTTATCTACTTGATCACCCAGCAGTACCTTCTTTCTGTAATAATGCAGAATAGGCAAGAATTTGGTCAGCCTCAGACAATTGAGAAAATGAAGCATTTGAGTTAAAAGCTTATTTGATGGCAACACCATCCCACAGTTGATATAAAATCCGTTTTTAATGTTAAGGGAAGTGAGGGAAGCATCTCATACAACAATAAATTTAAAAAAATGACAGCCCTCTGTAACAAGATGTGTGGCCACTGTATGAACGATGATATGGCCGCAGCAACCCAAAAGCGATAGCTCTAAGCAGGAGAGTTCAAAAGTTGTGCCTTGTCTGTCTTCCCTTTTCTGTAAAATGTGCTCATTCTCCCTATTTCTCTCTCTCTTTTTTTTATTGTCTGTATTGGCTCGATTCAGAGAAATCTTAAGCAACCCATTGTGAATCAGATGCAATAACGCAGATATGCACAGTTAAAAGCCCTGCGTCTCATAGGCTGTTTTCAAGCAGCCAGAATCCCTTTGACTTCAACATTATCAGTTAACTTTACCGAAAAAAACCCATGCAAAATAGTCACAGGAAAGAGAATCTTGGAGAATCAAGCCAGGTGGGGAAGAGGAAAGAGATTCAGGAGCAAAGCAACCTTAACATCTCTGCTTGCATGTCCAGTACTTTGTACTGGTCAGTGCATGCACTTCTGTGTCCTCGGGAGCTTTATGCCTGCCTCAGCTGAAGTGCTCAACGACGATATGTGAAATATTAACCTCTAAGTCAAACCTCAGGGGCCAAGAGGCTAACAGACAGCCTGCACCACCGTCTTTCAGAATAAAAGACCTTGTCAGAGAAACTGCAACAAAGTCATGCTCTTCCTTGCGCTTAAAGCAAAGCCTTTTCCCTCTTAACTGCTTATATTTCTATGCCATTAGAAAAAAAGACTTCTTCTGCTCTGCCAAGGCCAGTTTGAACAAGTAGTCAGACTTTGATGGTCTGTTTAACTGAGGGATCAGACTAAGTGAACACACCCTGGATAGACGTCCTTAAGATTTTCTTCTAAATGCTGATACTGCTAAAGGGGCCTCAGTAACAGAATAAGCTGCGGTCAATGAACTACGTACAAGTTATGCATTTACACTGAGAAGGTATCATTGCTTTTGACCTTTGGAAAGGATGTTAAGGACTCAGCACCATCCACTGCTGTCCAGCCAGACACAGATGGTGTATAAATTCCTGAAGCAAGAAGATTTGCCTTATCTTTGGAAGCAATGAACTTGGAGGCTTAGCATAGCAAATATGAGGAAGGTGTATCATGACTTACACTGTGTCCCCTAAAAGTATGTGTTGGAGTCCTAACCTCATCTGTGGCTGTCACATAAAGCAACACAACCAGACAATCAATCACTCAATCTGTTAAGACCACAGCAGTGTAGGATGGATCCTAATAACTTCTGAGTTACATAAAGCACATCGCAGACACAGGACTCGACCGATCATCTACAAGTCTGTGGCTATCTATGAGCAAAGGAACTGAGAAACACCCATGGTTGTCATGTACCTTCGAGTCGGAACTGACTCATAGCTGACCCTTAGCCCTTGCAGAGGCTGTAAAGTGCATTAAGGGGAGATTTCCTATTTTTCCCCCCCTGGAGCAGCTGATAGATTTTAATCACATGCTCCTGGATTGGCAGCACAACTCCTTACCCCTAAGCCACCAGAGGGCCCCTAAGGAAATGCAGGACGACCAAAAAGGAAGGGAAGAGATCAGTGCAGCACACAGCAAGATCGAGATTTGGATTCCAGAACTATATGAAAATAGATTTCTGTTCTTTAAGGCTACACCCTGAAGTGTTTGTGTTATAACACATCTAGAGAATTAAGGGTTTTTGCTCTGTTTTATATAGCGTTGCTGTGAGTTGGGCCAACTCGAAGACACCTAACAGCAACAATAACCTGAGCCACAATTAATGTGAAAGCAGTGGGTAAGCTATCTAGTTGGTTCCAGAAT